TGTTGGCAACGGTTGGCGTACTATTGAACGCCGAACTCGTGTTTGTGGTCACAGTCTGACCACATGTGAGTCCCTGTCTTAGTTCACTCAGACGATCACAAAGTGCCAGCTCTTGACTCAAACGCATTGAATCGACCGTCGATTTCAGTTAGACTTGAATTAATGTTCAAATGAGTAGCAAATGTTTGCATTGAGTTTGTATTCGTACGATCTGTTCATTCATAATTAACGAATTAACCATTTTGTTAATAAACTAGTAGTGGTATTGTAATCATGATTCATACCTGCATTAATGGGAGGACACGTATCCATTATGTTGTTATTTCCTGTCGACACAGAGACCAGAGATATGTCTCCTATAGGATAAGACACCGGCGGTGACGGGAATCCAGAGCTGGCCGTCAGTGCACTCGTGGCAGCGCTGGCCAAATATGTGCTGTAATACGAACTCCAATATACTGGCCGTTTATGTGAGCGTCAATACCAGCGCCGATACAACCCATAGACTTATCAATGATTTTTGTGTCAATTTTGTCAGAAATTTTTGCATTGAATTCATGAGAAAAAGGATTGAATAGTTGTATATATTGCAATATTTGCGATGATTTTCGGACAGACAGAATGGATAGTGTGAATGTGGGAACTTATTTATTATGTTTGTTATGAATGTTTCGTAAGTCTGTCTCTCGAGTCATACAAGAGTTTGTATTCCTGTCAACGGATCCAAAAGGGCGTCCTTTTGTGGACAATAACCGATTCGTGAGAAATATTTCTGTGTTTTTACTCTCAGGTCTGCGTCTGAACCCAAGTATGCGTTACCGGAGTCTGAGTCCAGTGTCTCCTGAAGTCAACACTCATTACAATGCAATTAAAATTATACTTCTGTATACACTTTACTAGTACATTAAATAGTGTTCCATTGAATTTACTTCAAACTCGCCTATTATATCACAACTATATTCTGTATACTTATTTTTTTAAAAAGTTTGCAACCAAAAACACACATCAGTTTAATTTTGCTAAAAATTAGTTTTAAAAGTTTATATGTATTACTTCAATGCAAAAGGGCGCTTAGCAACTTATAAATTTATTCATACCTTATTTAAATATTTCCCAAACAAAATGAACTAGCTTAAATTTGTTATTTGTTAAAGAAACTTCAATATTATATTAATTGATTTTGATCACGTGATATACGTAATATTGGGACCTTCTAAACGCACTATGCCACAGGTTAAACTATAAAAGTGTGAGGAATTGGGACAATGTATAATCTGTTGATAACAAATTAATGTTTAATATATAAGAATTATTAAAATCGGGCAAAAATTGGCAAACTAAGTCTATTGCAATGCTTTTCCTATGTGCTACTAGAAAGTCTATGGCAATTCTAACAATTAATAAATTTCTAAGCGCTGTTTTGCATTCATTTCTACATTCTCTTACAATTGAAATCCACACATAAAACTTGAAATGCTTTCAAAATTTGAATCAAACTATTAAATAAACTGCAATATAACAAATTAATCGATGGATAGATATCCGGACACTAATGCAGTTCTGGGGCGAAGACATGGAGTGTAAAGGTATTTTTGGGGACAGACCTGGAAACGCGCTAAAACAATGTCTGAATGCTATGACTATCTGTTCAAACTCGCGGTCCATATGAAGACATTGGGTTTGGATCCGTTGGCTAAGCCTTTAGTCTGAAATGTATTGAATTGTTGAAATGAAAGGCTTGTTATGAATGAAACCAATTAAACAATAATTTGCTCTCATTTTCAGTGAATTTGATAACTACAGTATTTTAATGATTAATTCCTCTTTTTGTTTTGTATCACTTATACAACGCTTGTCCGCATTCAAGTGAATGAGTGCTCAAAATAATAGGTCTTTTTATTAATTGAAGTCCCAATTATTATTGAAATTTGGATTCTGTCATCAAATAGAAAGCTGTTATAACAAACAGCCGTAATATTCAGGGCTGTTCTCAATTCACACAGAATTTTCGATACAGTACAGTAATTTGAATTAATTGTTAATTGCAATTAAACTGTGTTTTTAAAATTTAAATCTAGAGATAAATATTCACGTGAATTATTGCCAATTGTATAAACTTTTTGACATTAAGATTTATAATAACAAATGTGTTTAACTGTTTGACTATAGATTTAAAAAAAACATAATTTACAAGTTAATTGTATTTCAATCAACGTATAGAAAAAAATTATCATTTGCCTTAAATCTGTAAACAATTTAATTAGTTTTGTACTGAACATTATTTGTAACTAAAAATGCAAAATACATTTGGCTATAAAGACAAAAATAACTGCTAGAATAGTATTCACTTGACGTTATGAACACAATATAAGAGTGATTCCTTTGAAATGTTCACTTTATGCACACTTCATGTGTAGACTAAAACACGGGAACACTCTTTTCTCTTCTAATTATAACTGTTTTGACATTCAGTTTAATTCAAATAAGTTTTGAAATGAAAAAGTTGTTTTAAAACCCATATGGTTTGTCTCATAAAATTACATAAAAATAGCATTTTTATTGCAGATTATCCCGTCTTACATAAACACTCAGTAAAAGATTAGTAAACTCAGTAAAACTCTTATTGCTATTAATAAAACAAATGTATATTTAATATAAACAGTGTGCTATTAACGCACAGAGAGTGGCAAATCGCAAGGAATGTGAAAAACAGTGGTTATAAATGTTTACATATTTGTGAACATAAAAGAAAGTGAAATTTTTTATATACAGTATAATAAGAAATGTTATTCAATAAGTATAGAGTATATAACGGATAATCGTAATGGAGGACCCGAAAAGTGCTTAATGTGTTGTATATGGCTATCAACTTAAAGTGCTTTTTATAAAATCCTGATTAATAGATATATAAATACCACTTATATTACATTTACATTTAGACAACAATTCAGTTTTTATAACACAATTAGTGACTTAGTTTTTGCGAATGACTTTAGTATTATTATAAACGCAATTTTTGTTTAATAAACATGAGATTTTCAGTATATTGAAAAACTCTGTCCAGAGTTTTGTTATAAAACATTTAGTTTTAAATATTTGCAAAATTCACTGCTATTTAAACATCACATTAAAAATACAAATACAAATTTAAACTTTATGGCAGATTTTCAAATTTACTCTAATATATTGAGTATTATTTAAAACATTACCACATTTTACATAAAAATCTCAGTTACATTGAATTACAAAACTACATGTTTTTCACAACATTTTTATTTAAAATTATTTAGAATTTATAATTAAAGTTTTGCACTTATTTTAAAAATAGATTATTTTAAAGTAGAGAAAAAAATATACATGCGTTTTGTTTATATAAGTTCGCAATTAATCATTGCATTTCATAAACAAACTCTGTTTATAATTGTGCAACTATTTTTACAAGTTGAGTACGAATAGTATTTATATTGAAAGTTGTGTTGTAGTGGTTGACATATTTTACATACAGTATATGTTTAGATTTTTATTTTATTAATATTTAATTACATTTTCATAACTAATATCAAAATGAAAGCATATTTTGTGAGAAGTATTTGTTTGATTTATCGGTTAATACATTTGAATTATTAGTGTTGAGAAAATTTTGTTTTGTTTAACACTATTTGTGTTCACATTTTGTTTACCACTTATTGTCTCAACAAATGTGTGACAAATAGTATGCGATTATTATAAGTACGGACCCATTGGTTGCCTTCAAGACACTTATCTGGTCTGCAATAATCGCACCAATTATTGCCAATGCATTGATGCCTGAGAGTATGGGATCAGCTTTGGTGGCCGACTGTGCCTTCCGGTGCGACTTATGGACCAGAAGTGTCTGATTAGCGATCAGTTCCTCAAAAGCGCGAAGAATCGTACGGGAAGTGCGACCAATTGGACGAATGCGTTGTCGACAACTCGTATTGCGAGCCAATAGTGGAGGAATGTATCGGTGGTTCCGGATATGTGTCGGACGCACACAAACAGCGGTGTCTTATGGGTCGGGCAATCGGACACTGACCGGCAATTACGGCAATATATTGCCAGTTGATTGGAGCAAAACCTACGCCCGAAGTCTGCACTTACCGGCGCTTAACATAAACGCCTCGCAAATGCGTGCGACAAACGCGGCCAACAATAACCCGAACGCCGATCTCTTCGACCCGACTTGTGATGAGGAAGAGTTGGCCAATAAGTTGGACATGCATTCGCTGATTCTGGCGAGTCTACAACAGGAACCGATCTTCACGGCAGAACAGGTGCTCGAAGAGATCGACGAGATTATGATGAATGAGTCGGAGTCGACGTCCAGCGGGTGTACCGTTTCGGACACCGCGTCCACCGACAAGTCGCCCACCAGTGGTGGCAAAGCGGCCGACGATAAGCACTCGATAGCGGCCCTCCTCTACGAAAAGAAGCTGAAGACCTACTCATCGGTTCAGTTGAACGAGTTGTACGTCGAGTTGGAGCGTACGATACAACACAACTCCGGGACACTGATCAATGAGTTGGCGCCCAGGGATGAGTTCGAGATGGAGCTGAAGAATACGTTCATCTCGTTGTTGTTGAGCGTCCAGAATAAGCGCCGACAGCACACATCGACCGCAAACGGGGCCGCACTCTGGAGCGCAAGTACTTGACAACAGTCATACAGTACAACACGGGTCGCGGACAGCCAATAGTGGCCACTCTTCAGATACTCATCAAAATATTGCGTGCCATCAATGAGGACAGCCCTACTGTGCCCACACTTCTCACCGATTATTTACTGAAAGTGATTTGTCCGACCACTTGAGTGGTCAGCTCCAGACCCGACGGGTCCCACATCCGACAGCAGTGAACACCCGTCGGTAGTCAACAATTTCATGTGTAATAACTATGATTGCGATCTGATTCAGTGTAAAAGTTCCCAAGAGGGCACTTTCTTCAACGGTTTTAGACGCACGCACTCCTCCCGGTGCCGCAATCAGGCCGCCCTTGAGATACAGCAGTTTATGAGGCAATCCAAGAATAAATTACAGAGACAACATGCTTTAGCTCCCGATGAAAGGATTGCAACACAAGAAGTGCTTACCATAAGAGCTCAAACACAACAATCTATTAATTGATTAGTTATTTTGCCAGACATTTACCACAACACAGGAGACACACAACACATGATTTTCACACCACTTATGTTGTATATCATTGGATGACAGTTTGGGAAGTATGTCTTCGGACACAGACATTGGGCGGCCGTTTGTGGCGCCGAAACCCTTAACCATTGGGCCCTCGATTGTCACTAATCAACTGATCTGTACTTTTGTGGTGACAACGAGTGCCTGCGATATGTGTTTTGTATATTCATTAATACATTATATATAATGAGACACTGTTTTTGTAGACATAAAAACCCCATTGATATCTAAATCGGACAGAAAACTAAACAAACGACACATTTTGCTAATTATGTTGTGATTATTATAATATATTCTCGATTCGTTTATTAAGTCTATATATAATTGTTATCATTGTTTGTAAAATATAACAAAACAGAAAAAGCAATTGATTTATAATTTATTACCTATTATTTGAATCTGTGATAAGGAATCGATTTAATCCAGAATTTTTGTGGTCATTATAAGTAATATTTTAGTTATTATTTGGCAAAAAAGGCATAGATTTTGTTTCTTTCATTCACAAAGTAATTGACAGAATATTTAGTTTTATTTGTTTTTAATTAATTTTGTTGTTTGACTTGTTTTCAAAGTTATTAGATACTCTATATTATATTTAATTTATATACAAATCCAGTTATATATATATATAGTATACAAGTGTTGATTGAAATTAGTTATTAATTTATAGTTCAAACAAATTTTTTTTAATGGTGTAAGACTTTTATAATTAATTAATTTTATTGATATATTAATTGTAGTCGAGTTTATATTTAATTATTGTATGGTTTTACTCTCTTTTATTTGTTAAATAATATATATTTTTTGTTATCAATATTTTTTCGTCGCTTTAACACTGAAATTGTTTTTCATTACTTATAAGAAAAATGCATTTAAATCCCGGTTTTAAAGAAAAGTCAATATTATGTTAAATGTTGTGTTTTTTGTATTGAAAGTAATGTTAATTTTATTTCACTTATTCATAAATTGTTTATAAATATTTGAGTGCTTTTTATAAAATTCATTTGAGTATTGATTATATATTTATTGATTATTATTTTGTTGTTTAAAACACTTATTATTATATTATACTGTTTTTAAATTTGATTTCTAATTGTTTTGTTTGATTCACTTTATTTTGTGCCAATACTTACCGCTATATCCATGAATTTATTGATTGATTAATAATAATTGCGATTGAATTCTAACAGAAACACATGAAACAAAACAATAATTGTTTTAATTATTTAAAAAAATACATATTTTATTCAAAATTTATGAGAGGATTATTACCAAAAACCATACATAAAATAATTAAATAATATTTAAAGTAAATTTAAATCCTATAATAATTTAAATCGATTTAAAAGTAAACACAAAACAGAAACAATAATTTAAATAACAATTTGTTTATGACAATAATTAGTTGCTAAGTATGCCAAGTATATGCCCAATACTAGTGCTGACAAATAGATTGTTAATTTAATGTTTTGTATAACAGAATATTCTCTAAATAACGTCATCTGTAGGGCTAGAAATGCATTAAAATGCATTGAATTTCATTCACTTGTCATTTATGATAAAATTTATTTTAAATAATTATTTTTAGTTGAAATTTTTTTGTTTGTATAATGATAAGTTACTTTTTAATTAATTAATCCGAAATATTTAATGAGAAATATTTTAAAATGGTTTTTAATCTTATTATGAGTAAATACAAATAACGTTAAAAATAAACTAGTTGTAGTTTTAATTAAAATTTATTTTTTTCTAATATTATAAAAATATGTGAAAAGCAAATGTGGGTTCACCAGTGATTAGAAACTCATTTTATACAATGTTTAAGAAATGACAAGTTATATATGTTTTAAAAAATGTTTTCATTAATTATAATTATTATAAACCAGATTATAAAGTATTTCAATTGCCTTTTAATTTCAAAATGCCATTCAATCGTGAATTTTAAAAAAATTATATGATTATTATTCAAAATGAATATAATCTTTATGTATGGATTACAAACCAGTTTCAAACATCTATTTTACTATTGTTTATTAATTCAACGCCTTATTAAACAAATGCTTTAATTATTATTATAATTATAAATTGATGATTTAATTTAAATATTCATGTGATTAAAATTTATATTTGTATACCAAATATATTGCATATATTTTGTGTCTAGTTTAAAGATAGTTCTAATATTCTAAAATATTTAACCCTTTGCGCGTTGGATGGCCTATTTTTAGGCAATATTTCACTTTACTCGATGTAACATCACTCGTTTCGTGTAACTCATAAGAAATTATATTTGAATTACTTATTCTATTATGTTATTTAATTTTGACCAAGATACTTCAATAATGACTCTTAAGATAAGAAAATGTCGCAACGAGCACTTAAAATTGATACTCTATTCTGCAGATAGAGTAGTAATTGAATTGGTTTTAAATTGTTTCTTTCTTAGATTAATTTGATTTATTGAACGTAATTCATGAATGATTGTGGTTACCATGGTTATTTTCCTAAAACCCCATTTCAAAATAATCCCAATATTATAATAATAATTAAATTAAAAGTATTTATTAAACAAAAAAAATTAACAATAAAATAAAATTAAATTAATACTAACAAAGAATCTAAGAAATAAATACTTTTATAAATACATAGTTTAAAAGTTTTACGATTAATTACCGATGCATTCATTCAGTCATTCAGACTATGTCTATAATAATTAATTTGCAAAAGAAAATCTTTTAATTTATACACAAAATAATTATACAAATAAGTTTTAATTTAAAAACAACAATGCTTTACAAACAATTAAATCAGACAAACAATAAACACTTCTAATGACATGATAAGTCGAAACCGATTTACAATTGCCTCATTACAATATAATTACCAAATTACAAAGCTATTCTGTGGTCAAATACAATATACCTATCGTTACAACCATAACAACTATAACCAATATTTATCTATAAAAATTATTTCGAAGATTATTCATTGAGCAATATTTCATGACTTAATTTATTAAAATCTTGTTAGATTTCCATTATAAAGCAATTCAATGTTAGTTTAATAAAAATTTAAATAATTCAAATAAAAATTTATATATGACTTACATAATTTAGATTTACATTCATGTTTACTTACAAGCATACAAATTATATATTAAATTTAATTATAATTGGATTCTATTGGAAAGACATTTAACCATTATGAAAATACATTTAATTCAGACAAAGTAAAATAAAATTATTATATCCAAGTTTTAACAGTTATATTTAATTTATTGTTAATTATATGAATAAATAATAATTAATTGAAAAATATAAAAATTAATGTTAGGTATTTTGTAAAATTGTTATTGAAAATAAGTTCAATAAATTACTTTGTATAAGAATAAAGTTTATTTTCATGTTAAAAATAATTTAGTACAATAAAGCAAAATTGAATGAATGCATCAAAATAATTGTCGTTAAAATTATTAAATATTATTAAGTAAATACATTTTTATATACCTTGATAAACACAGAATTAATTTATAATTCAGAAAGAAAATCACTTTACAATTAATTCAATATTGAATTTTTATATATGAGAAAATGTTGAATGAAATATAAGTGTATTACTCTAACTGATCACTAGAGTATGATTGAATTGGTTTTGAAATGATTCTTTCTCTTATAAAATAGATTTATTGAATTTTAGATAATCTATGTTTTGATAGTATTTATCTTTCCTCTTAATGTCTACAATCATTAATTAGTTTATAATTAAAAATTGTGTAGTTTAACAAGTTACAGAAAATAATATAATTCATTACTAACAAAGACACTAAGCAATTATACTTACAAAAATGAATTAAACTTTTTGATTAAATTAATCAAGAAATGTTTACATTATGGTTTACAATAAGTAAAACTATTTAAAAAAAATTATGTGACAATTATTTAAATAATTACCACAAAGGATTAATAAAAGTGCTACCGACTAGACGTGTAATAGATGATTGCATATGCAATAAAGTTTATCACATCATAACAAGGGATGTATAACATAAATAAACGTGTAAAAACATGGTGCCATAATTGGCCGATAATGAAGTATTGAATTACTGACAACCTGTTGAGCGACTCAAAGATTGGACGCATATGTAATCAAAATTGTCACTTTTAACGTTTATAAAATTATTTATTAACAAATACATAAAATTAAATTTGAACACAATTATTGATTTAAATCAATGACCTGATAACAAATAATTGATTCCATATTGTGATACGATTGATCATTGTTTTTAACTAACAAAAATTATTGGAATATTGGTTTATATTGAAAAATAATCTACAAGTAATTAAATTTAAATGCTTTGCAATCCAATTAAATCCTATCCGATTAGAATTAATCTTATCTGAAACCCTTTATTTTATAGACAAATTTATAGGTATTTGGTAATTTCAGATAATTAAAGTGCTTTTGCATTTTTGTTTAATTTATTTAAGTTTATACTGATGCTCTACTAATTTTACTAATAAAAATGTATATTACAATTACCGTTTCAACTGATGCTAAAAGAATTTGAACCTGACGCGTAAACGTTTTGACGACGTAATTCATTGGATAAAGCAAATTGAAATTTTATCGCCACAAACGAGTAGATGACACCTTTAATAATAACGTGTTACAATTAATGAAATTTACGAGGTATCAAGTTTACCCGATGGAGTAATAGTGTTAGCGTGTTGGTCAAACATCTGGAGAATAAGGAAAACTTATATTGATGTAATGCACTCACAACCTAATGCTACTATGTCTAACGCTTTAATATAACGATTAAATAATTGCCTAAAATTATATATTTAAACTCATTAAAAATGCCTTTCAATTTTAATTAAATTAACAAATAACAATAATTGAATTTTAAATTTGAATTGATTTTCAAT